GAATCCATCATCCCCGAGCTGCACCATTCCGACAACGACCGTGTCCACCCCACTACCGACGAGTATGTGACGTGCCCAAAACCAACCCAGGGCAAAGTTTCACATGTCGAGGTGCCTCTGGACGATCTGCTGACTGAGCTGCAATTCCTCGAGGCCAACTCCAGTGTGGCTGCCCAGCACCATGAATCCCATGTGGCAGATGCTGTTCGTGGTAGCGAGTTCGATCTAGCCACCATGGTGAATTCTGGCCGTGTGGATCCGATCTGCACCATGCTGGCACGCCACCCCGAGGACTTTGGGGTCCAGCTGCATCGTCTGTTCACTGCAGATCGACCCACCTTTGAGTTGCTCATTCGCCAGCGTTTGTTGCACCGATGCTCCATGCAACCTGGGGTGGCTCAGAATCATTTGACAAGCTGTACACCAAGTAGTTTGGGCACAAGATGACAAGAGAGTCTGTCGTTGAGCTTTTCCGGGCTCTGCAGCACTCCGACACCGCAGGCACCCATCGTATCTGAGACGGAAGATGGTGACGAGCTGACCCTGTCCAGATTGGACCTGGAACTGGTGTTGGCACTCGCTGAGGTGCTTACAGCGGCTCATATCCCTCTTTACTTTGCATCCGATGCTGCCGTGATGGTGTCGACTGGATGCAGCATTGAAATCATCCCTGCGCACCGTGGAATGCGCTCCCTTTCGGCTCCGACCATGCTGGCTGTCCTCATGTCAACCCACCTTGGTGAAGAGCTATGGCGCATCATGGAAACGATGTTTGATGGTGATGATGACGACATGAACCGTGTCATGGCGCACCTGTACGCCATTCATGAGAGTGGATTCTTCAGCCTTCCACACATCGGCATCACTCGATGGGATCACGAATTGGAACGATTTGTCGTCCCGACGGATGAAGTGGATGACACTTCCACTCCGATGGACAACTCTACCATGACCCAAGTGGTCAATCGTCAGTACTAAGGTGCTACCGGCCAACCTCCTCGACCCAACCTCATCCTTCACCATCACCACCTGCAACTGACCTCAACATCAATGGCCACCTAGTGGCTCGCCGTCTCAAACAACCTCCAACCTGTGCCGTCTTTCAAGAAACGAAGATGTGCAATGCTCAACAACTCGACACGTTCCACCACCACCTCAACAACGAGGTTGGTGCTGGCAACTACGTTCTTTTCACCAAAGATCCTCGGGAAACCAGTGCCGACCCGGTTCACCGTCGTCACTGTGGGGTCGCCAGCTTCTTTCACAAGTCCATGCCTGGCTTCGCCTCATTGGTTCACCTGGTCAACCATGACATCCCTGGCCGTTATTTGGTGGTCAGGACTGAATGGAGTGGTTTGCCCGTGTAAATCCGCAACATCTATGCACGTGGAGCCCCATCTGCGTGGTGCATTCTTTGTAGCCCTGCCTCGTGATTTCGAACACGATAGTCTGCACCTGGTGGGAGGCGACTTCAACATGCCTCTCCACCCATCCATCGATGCCTCGACACTGCACTCAAGTCACGGGAATGGCAAAACCAACTGTGTGGAATGGCTCACAGCATTTGGTGTGATCGATGTATGGCGTCAGCTCAATCCATCCACACGCCTGTTCAGTGGCCCTGGGCGAGTCAATCGGCTGGACTACCTCTTCCTGCATGACGAGTTGGCTTCCCATCTCAACCCCAAGGCCAGATATGACCCCAATGGCTGTGGTGGCGACCATCTCACCCACACTGTGACTCTGTCCCAAAGTCTTTGCACCACTACCAAGGGCTACTGGCGACTACCACGAGAGCTGTTGTCCGACCCCAACATCCAACGTGCCATCACCATGGAGGCCACCACTCTTCTTGGCAAGATGCGAGCTGACGAGACCCTCAACCATGGTGCGATGTGGTATGGCTGGCTGAA